TCTTATAAAATTACTGTCCTAGAAATGTTGCACTATTGCATTTTCAAGAAAATAACTTACCAGGCACAACAATATCACCCAATCCAAGCATCGTAAATTGCAATGCCTCTTCACCGGTCCACTGTTTTGGCCATACAACTTTAATGGGTGCATCAAAACTTTTTGCCACAGTAACCATAACTTCTGTACCGAATACCCAAAATATATCATAGAAAAATAATCCACCAAGAAGAATCATGCCTGTTTTGAAGGAATCCAACGATAACATCTGAATTGCGTTAAAAGCAAATGCAAGTCCGAAAATATTTGACGCAATCCAATTTTTGGTACCCACATAAAAAGCAGTAAGGAGAATGGAAAAGAAAAGCGATACGAGATGTATGATCGTGAAATTGGCAATGTAAAGCTCTAGAAATATGGAAAGTATCGTTAAACAAATGCGCCTATTAAAAGATTAAGTATAAACAGATAGATTTTTAAATAACCTTTAGCTTTTTTTGTCAATACGAGCTTATAAGCATCTACTTTAAACTTGCAAACGCTTTTTACAACATGAACACCAACATTAGACACTGCGACTACGCCCAAGAACGCAAAGTACGCAGTGACAAGATAATTTACATATTCCTTATCCAATAATTTGAATATTAAATATAGAGAAAATAACACGACTGAACCAAATATAGGAAAGAGATAAGCATCTTCTGTTGATAAAGACTCGGCTGAAGATTCCTCTTCTGAAGATGAGTCTGTATCATGACCGGGGCTTTTACGTTTTTGTTTGGATTTCTGTTGGGATGAATAGCAAATATAAATTGACAACATAAATGTTTAATCCATCATAAGATCGTGCTTTCAAAGCCTCAGATCATTATAGCTCTAATTTAAACAACAAGGGAGTATTATTTTACCTTAGGCCACTTGACTGATGCAAATGAACCGTAGTATATTGGCACTACTGCCATGATACCCAAAGCAGCATATGCGATCAATAGTCCAACCTCCATATTTCTAAACAGTAAACGGAGTATAAAGTTTGAAGAATCGAAGGAATGAGATGTTTTATACACTCACATAAGTGAGAAGGGCGAGGCTTTACCAGTTTTTAAACTGCGTTGTTAATTTTTGATTTGTAGAGATCTTAATATGATGACTTTTGATTGGCTAAAAAACTACGGAAGTAGACCCATATATGGATTTGAGGGTAAAAATCACGCACGTACGTACGTAACTTAACTTACACGTTGCATACCGATACGTATAAAAACTTTATTAAGTCGACCCATATATGGGTTTGAGGTAAAAATCCAGTACATATCTATATCGATATAAACCTCTTTAAGTAAACTAAATTTAGAGCACTAATGTAAGACAAAAATATGAAAATGGTAAAATTTTTATATAAACGATTAGTTAAAGATTTTATTAATTTCGCTGTTTAAAATTAGTAAAAATTTATTATTATTATTATTTAAGCTGAAAATTTAAAGAATTTCCATTTGTACACTAGTGTGTACACACAGGGTATTGTTATTCAATTGCTTATACGTAAAACTACTTTTTGGGGTTCTAACAAAAAATAATCTACGCAAAATTTTAGTATAAAATACTAACCTCGAACTAACCCTAAGGTTATATAAATTTATATAATTGGTTTCATATCGCGCCCGCGTTGACAAAGTGAGAATTGGAATTTTTTGTTTTTATATATGTATATGGGAACTTTGCTAGGAAAATCGCCCTCCAAGATTTTCAGATCGGGCAAACTTAGACCAGAATTTCGGTTCTTTTTTATGTAAATCATCGTTTATTTATTGATTTCATAGTTTGTCAAATGAACTATAGAATCAATAAAATAAAATGTTGGTTT